CCAACCAAGGCCCAGAGAGGGAAAAACTGTTTTAATCATTATATGTAGTTCTACTGGGGAATGACACCATCTTTCTCTAGAATCCTATGGAGCCTGTACTACAACCCTCCTGGTAGGTCTCTGCATAGATGGCTCATGACAGTTTTTAAAATATATTCATTATTTTTATTTTGTATGTATGAGTGTGTAGCCTGAAGGTATGTAAGTACACCCATGTCATGCAATGACCTCAAAGATCAGAAGAGAGCATCCAGATCCCCTGAAATTGAAGTTATGGACAGTTAGACATCATGTGGGTGATGTGTGTGTCTGTGTATATTTGTGTGTCTTTTTTTGTGTATGCATCTCTGTTTATGTGTATGTGTGTATTTTTGTGTGTATGTGTGTATGTTTCTGTGTGCATGTGTCTGTGTATATGTGTGTATCTGTGTGTCTCTCTGTGTATTTTTGTATGTATGTGCATGTGTGCATACTTGTGTATGCATCTGTGGTGTGTATGTGTATGCATTTGTACTTGTGTGTACATCTGTTTGTGTGTCTGTGTATGTGTTTGTGTGTGCGCTTGTATGTGCATCTGATTTGTGTATATGTGTATGCATGTGATTCTGTGTGTTCTTGTGTGTGTTCATCTGTTTTTGTGCATGTGTATGACTGAGAAAAGAGTATAATGACTTCTGCCAAGTAAACACACACAACACACACATATACATACACACAAAACACACTGAAACACACACAGACACATGCAACTACTTGGAATTAGAAGGAATCCCACAGATTGCAGGAACCAATCTCCTGACATATATCATGTGCAAATTTGGGGTTCAGAAATGATCAACCTCATTCCTATATTGCTGCAAATCTGGGGTCCCTAGCAAAAATTCAGGTTTAATATGCGTTAGACTGATTCCTGGAACTCAGAAAAGTGCTATACTTATGATTTCAGTTTTTCACAGAAAAGGGCACACATGAGAAGAGCCAAAGGTCAGCACAAGGGTGAGCCCTGTGAGGTTCTTGCACAAAGCTCCCTTATCTTAAGTTGCATAATCGTCCCAAACATCAGTGCTCAAACATGTGGACCTCTCATTGGTGTCAAGTCTCTACTGAGGCCTACTTCTACAGACTCGTATATTGGATGGTGGGCTTCACACCTAAACTTCATTTCTAGCCTCCCTCACTGGAAAGTCTAATCATACAGCATTTCTGTCATGACCAGCCTCCTATCTGAAGCTGTCTTGGAGACCACATGAATCCTATCATGAACATAAACTCAGGTGTGAGCCAAATGGCTCATGAGTTACAAAGATACTGTGTCACTTGGGATATTCCTAGGGTTTTAAGAGCTGTGCCAAGAACTGAGGGCAAAGAGAAGACAGGTTCCCTAGTATATGTCAGGAACCTGGCCTTATCCCTCTCCATCCCTTTGCCTTCTTTTAGAACTCCACAGTATGCCATTACCCTGGTACACTTGCTGTGGATGTTGTGTAGCCCCCGTCAGACTAAAACTTAAGTTTTTAAAGTACTGTATAATTGTTTTGTTCATTCCTGTGTTTTGAACTTACTGCCCTGGTTGATATATGTTCAAAAATCCTGAGAGAAAAAAAAGAAATCAAATGAATTCATCATTTATTAGAGTGGAGCCATGAAAGTCTTCATGCACATGAAATGGAAGCCTGACTGGTCTCTTTAGTGTAGCTGGGAGTCTTTAAAAGACTTCCTGCTAAAGGTCTTCTTCAGGGCCAACATCACGTCTCTATTCCTAAGGGTGTATATCAATGGGTTCAGCACTGGGGTGACTGCGCTGTAGATGATGGCCACCAACCGGTCCTCACTCATGGAGGAGGCTGAAGCAGGACGGATGTATGTAAAGCCCACAGGTCCATAGAAAAGACAAACCACCATAAAGTGGGAGGCACAAGTGGAAAGAGCTTTGTGGAGCATCCTGCAGGACCGGTTCTTGAACAGAAGGAAGGCCATGATGTAGAAGTAGGAGAGAAGTGTGAGGAGGAAGGCCCCCATGGATATGCTGCCTGTGACCACAGAAAGAAGCCACTGGTTCAGCACTGTGCTGCCACAGGCCGCTTCCAAGAGGGGTTTTACATCGCAGAAGAAGTGATTGAGTGTCTTCGAGCCGCAAAAGTTCAGGTGTGCCGTCATGACAGAATGCATCAGCGCATAGAAGAAGCTGATGAGCCAGGCCAGGGCTGCCAGCAGGATGCACAGCTGGGGGTTCATGATGGTGGTGTAGCGGAGTGGACTGCAGATGGCCACGAAACGGTCAAAGGCCATCACTGCCAACAGGATGGCCTCCGTGCTTCCCAGAAAGTGGAAGAAGTGCAACTGAGTGATGCAGCCAAGGAAGGAGATGGCCCTGCGCCTGGAGATGAGGTTGGCGAGAACCTTGGGAAGAGTCACAGAAGAGTAGCAAATATCCAGACAAGACAGGTTTCCCAGGAAGAAGTACATGGGGGAGTGGAGTCTTTGTTCCAGAGTAACAATCACTAATATTGCTCCATTTCCAACTAAGTTCGTCAGGTAAATTATTAAGAACATCACAAAGAAGACGGGCCACAACTCCTGAACACTGGTCAGGCCCAGCAGGAGGAACTCACCCACTGCACTGGCATTCTCCATTACTGGGGGAAATTCAAAATAAGTGACTCAGTGTTTTCTGAATTTTATATCCTATACTGAGTGAAGCAGAAGCCAGCTTCACGGAGGAGCCTTGGAGGA